AGACTGAAGAAGTCTCTTGGAGGAGAGACGAAACGTTTCATTAGAGAAGAACCCGTCCAGAAGACCTATACAATTTTTTTTCTTTTTGATTTTTACAAGGAAAAACCACTCAAACTTAAATATAACACATCCTGACCGGTTCTGTCTGCCCCATTACCCACATAAATCACAGCAAACAGGTGCCAAGATCCAGCCATCAAAATAAAAAAAACCTCATTGTTTATTTTAAATTAACAAGGAAATGTTCTTTACAAGTAACACCAAAGGTCCTTTGGAGTTGGTAACATGATATAATATAAAAAACTACTGGCCTGTTCATGTTGTTTACTCCAAATGTGAAATCTTTCCCATTTATTTCTCAGCTGTCAACAATAAAAGCAGCGGTTCAGTGTGAGAAGCAGATGTGTGTCTCTTATTGATCAGTTTGATTTTAATAACATGAGCAAATGGTGTTAATTATAGTGCATTTAAATAGTGTATTTGTGCAGCTGGTTGTAGGGATTCCCGCTCCTACCAGTTGTGTGTGTTTGTGCATTTGTAGAGGTGCGATGGTGTGGCACGGTTATCCGCCTTACATAACTCCGACACTGTTCCCAATGAGCGCTATAATCCCTGAAAGGGACCATATTTCCTCTCCAAGCTGCAGAAATTTGAAACAAATTTTCTCTCTTTTTTTTCTCCTTAAACTGAGAGAACACACGCTCTGTCTGCTGAAAATATGAACCTGGACGGATAAATCCGATGTGCTTATCAGGTCAAGCTCATTTTAACATCTGCTGCTAAAAAGAGAAAAAGGGAGATTAAATTCAAAGATGCACAACATGAAATGAAAGAAAAAAATGCTGTTCATAACATTCTTTGTTTCCCATCAAGGCTTCATTTGATAGAAGTTCTCCTAATGATGTTTAGGTTTTCTTTTACGTACGCCCTGCTGTGGCTTAATGAGTGTGATGTTACAAAGTGACAATAAGCCCACACTGTGATGGAATCACATTGTGTCAAAGTATCTGTGCAGCTTTTTTAGTTGAGGCAACAGGTCTAAAAATAATAACTTTTTTTTGGCTGTGTTTCAATTAGAAGCTATGGTTTCCTTCAATAAATCAGAAAATTTTAAAACGTCGAATCACCCACTTAGCCAAAAAATGATTTGCTGAACTTACTTAACCAAGTGGTTTCACACAATCAAGTTGAGTAAACGCAACAAGATTTACACAAGTAAAACAAGTAAATCACATTACATGTACTCTACTCGATCGTGTGGAGCTGTTTGACATAACTTGGTCAAGTAAATTCAACAAATCATTATTTTGAGGACACTGATTCCTTTCTACCAGAAAAAAACAGATATGTTGGATTTTATTAACTAAATATAGTCAACCAAACTGAGTAAACATATATTTGCTTCACATTTACTGTTTAATAAAAATTGCTTTACATTTACTCAATTCGTTTGAGTTGAACTAGTGGAAATAATTTGAGTAAATCCAACACATCTGTTTTTTTAGTGTAGTTTGAAATGCAAAAAACAGAATTTTGAAAGTATTTTTTGTAAATCTTTTTGCTTTAATCGTATTGTTTTTGTTTAGTTATAACTATAATTTGTGAGAAATTAAAGCTAAAATATTTAACATTCAAATGCGGTCATGGCAGATTTAGCAACAGACGTGGTAAAAACTGCAGCCCTTCATTGTTTTCATTTTGCCATCTCACTGTTTCTAACCTTGACTTATAAAACACATCATGTCAACAAGTGTTCATATCACACCGGGCTGCGTTCTGTATACTAGAATCAGAGTCATTAGTGATATTTTTCAGTCTCTAAACAAGGAAATTCAGTTTTAAATATTCACTTGTCTTATATTTTTAAAGAAAATACAACATACCATGTTAATTTTGAATCTCTTAAGCCTATGTTTTTTATGCCTTTCATATTTTTTAAGTTGGTAAACAAAGGGCATTTTAAAATTTAATCAGCAATTAAAAATATAAAAAAAAACTGCTGCTGTTTGTTCAACATCATAGAACTTGAATTGCAGTTGTGTCGCATTTCATCAACTAGTAATTACTTACATTGATTTTTTTTCTGGTACACACACACAGTGGCTGGGCGTCAGTGTATGGCCAGAGGATACTTGAACTGGAGAGGTCAGGAATCGATACACCGACCTTCCGCACTTTGTCCTCCTCACAGCATTTTATGTTGCCTCAGAAAGAGGAAAGTATTTCCAGCAGCCATTTTCAGACGTTTTTTAAATCCCTTCCACTGACGTCCTGTTTATTAGCCGATGCTCCACTTTTGCCGTCCAACTCTTTGAAGGCAGCTGGAGGAGGCAGAGTGGGGGGCTGGGGGTGGGGGAGTGGCTGTTGGTTACCACAGGGTAAGAGGCTTAAAATCAAATACAGATTCATTTGAGCCTAAGCGCTCCATCTCTGCCCCCGCCAACACACATCCCACCCCTGCTGTTTCCTCATCTCCACTTTTGTGTTACCTCTTCTCTCCTGCTGTTTTATGCTCCATCAGCTTTTGCTTTTGTCTTTTTTTTTTTGTAATTTACCTGAAGTTAAACCCGTCATCTATCATTCCATGAGATTTGTTTTCAGTGTGACAAGCCTGAACAGCTCAGCTTTAACCCAAATCCAGATAAATCCCAAATCAAATCGTGCTGGAAACTTAGGCATCACCACCTTTGGCTCCGTGTGTTTTGATTTTTCACGTTTGGATCTCGCTCAGACAACTGAGAGTTCTTCAGTCCGATAAAACCATGACTCATAGATGTGTGTGTGTGTTTGTGTGTGTTTTACTGGAGACTGATGGTCATTTAAAAGCTTCGGAAAGTCATCTTGTTAATGACTCAGTAGCAGCAACAGTTTGTGGCTTTTCAGGATGATGTCATGATGAAGCAGGTGCTGTGGTCATTGATTAATCACAGCAAAATAACAGCAGGCTCCTCCCTCTATGTGTCTGTGTGTTTCTCTATGACATCACAGTAGTTTTCATCTTTGTCTCTTTATTCCTTTTTCACTGCAAACATTCAGCATTTGTTTTTGGGAGGTGTGCACTTTTACAGGCATTTACAACATATTCCTTTAGTGCGGTGTTATTGGAAAAAATAACAGCTTGGTCTGGTAAATAAAGATTCCATCAACAGCTATCGTTTACGTCCATTAGAGGACAGGTTTGTCAGATTTCTAAAACATCTAATGTAACATATCAGCCTTTATGGCTGCAAACAACTCTTATTGGCCTAATGTTTCAAGTCTACAACTGATAACTATCTTAATGCACTTTTTATTAGTGCAGATGCTCCTTTATGAAAGTGAAGATTATGTATTTCTTGATCAGCTTGCAGAACATCCTGCTAAAAAAAATGACGGCAAAGTAGATGCTTTGATTACAGGTAAATTTAAATATATAAAAAAGCCTCCTGTGTGAACTGCAGCACTCACTATTATATTAAATTTAGGCCCAGGAGTTGTAAAATTGATGATTTATAAGCATTTTTGGGTTAGCTGTGGCTTTGTAAAAATCAGTTCAGTGGCTCATGATTTATAGTATTTTGCAAACAGACTAAAACGGTTGCCTGCATAATGTGAAATTTTAAACACAGATCTAATGTGATCAGGCATTGGTTGAAGTATGAGTTCGGGAGGATTTTCAGCTACTGCCACACCAAACCTTTGCTCAATGTGTGCCAATTTGACTGAATTTATAGCATTTTAGTGTTTGCTAAGATTAATTAGCTGTGACAGCCAGCTTGAACTGTATCAACCCCAAAAGTTAATCAGTTGCAACTGCACATGTTATGATTACTTTCTGGAAGTTTCTCTACAATTTCTTCAGAGGTTCATGAGATATTTTGCTAACAGACAGGCAAACACAACATTTACCGTCTTATAACGGATGTTGAATTCACTTTGAAGTCCTTCAATCAGCAGCAGAATTGGAGGAAAAGTGAGTAAAAGTGCAGCAGTGAACAAAACTGTCACCACATGATGTGTCACGTCTTACACCCCACCTTAGATGGTGCTAACTAACTAATGTTGGCACTTCAGCAGTGGCTGCATCTCATGTGATAAAGATCCTGAAATAATATACTGTTTACGCTTCAGTTTGTGTTATCATTATTTTAAGCAGAAATTTCAGATTGAACCTTTGATCTAAATGTTCCTGTCTGCAGCTTTTACTAACACAGATTTCTTACATGTTGCTGTGCGCCTGTGGGGAAGAGTGTCTAAAGTTTTGTGACAAAACAAACAGAAAATGCAAATCAGTCTATCTGTTAGCAAAAAAATGCATAAACCAGAGGACTGATTTTCATGAAACTCTCAGAAAATAATCAGTAGACGTTCATCAACAACTGATTCATATGTGTAGTCAACCAGATTTAAGTTAGTCATCACAGGTAATTAACGTCAGCAAACACAAAATGATTAAATTAGTCAAGTGTAAAAAATCTTAAGCTAAAACGTGTGATTGTGGCTGAGGAGCAACACTTCATAGTTTGAGTGCTATCATGTCAGTGTTTTATTTAAAACTTTGGTATGAAAGACGAGTAAAAGGATTCTTTTAGGGAATGCTAGTTTCATTTCAACGAAATTTTAATACTCTGGAATAGAAAAACTTATTTTTGTAAAGGATATGAAGTAGAAAATCATTAAATACATGAGTAAATCAAAAGGTAAAAATGTTGCAGCTAAAGGATAAAGTTTACATAGTTATTTTGCACAGCTTTTGTGAAGTCATCAACCTGCGACAAAAGCAACGGCCAACGCTGCTGTGGATGGTGCCTCTGAAATACTTAAACATAAGCTACATGATTTGGCTGCAACAGTTTAGATTAAAATTTTCCATTGAGACTTACAAGTAAAAATTAGCAAAATGTAAGACCAGTGAGCTAATAATAAAATGTCAGTGGATTTTTTAAACTACGATTTTACACTGAAAAAAGGCCCATTTGGTGCAATTGCAATTAGCCACCAACATGATATACGGCTTTAGTGGTTTCAGGCTGACCTTAAGAATGAGTGTAGATGTGGTTGAGGCCTTGTGATGAACTGGTTATCTGTCAGGTGTATCCCATCTCTTTGCTGGGCTCCAGCTCCATGACTGTAAACAGGAAGAAGCAGATATTGTGTCTAAATGACTGTTTTTATATCAGACACACTCTGAACAATGCCATTAGCATCAGGAGAACTCTGATTTGTGACTTATCATGACCCTCAGTTTTGCCTTTGCATGCATTAGCATGTTCCAGCAGGCTCCATATGACCTGTGTGTTCAGGGAACTCTATGACCAAGTGATCTAAACTTGTATCCACACGTAATATGTGAAATGTCCTCTTCTTAGCTGCATTGCAGCATTTCCTTCTCCATTGCATGCCAGCTGCTGCAGACTTGGGAGCCTGCTGAACGTAATGAAGCAAAGATGAAATAGAACATGGAGAGAGCCAAACTTGCTCTGCCACAGTTCATTACAGAGACATATAGACCTGCTTGCTGTGGAATGCTGGCGTGTAAACGAAAGCTCTGAAACTTCAGTGTAAGCAGGAACTACCAGTCATTCATGATGCAACATCCTCAGCTCAGTTCATTTCAACTGTGATTTTATTTTGATATGTTATTCAATTATGGATGGATGGATGGATGGATGGATGGATGGATGGATGGATGGATGGATGGATGGATGTGTCACAACTTGGTTGAATATAATCTCATAGGAAATAGTCAATGTTTGGGTGGTTGTGTAAATCTACGGAGACCCAGACAGATCCTGTCAACCTAAAAACATTTTTTTCTCTAAAACCATTAAGTGTTTGCGTAAAAAAAAAAAAGAAATCGCCTCTTTGAGTCTTTATTAATGAAAGGAACAAATTTTACTCAGAATGATTTTAAAATTGTAGTAAAAATTGTGTCCCTTTGTGTATTTTTAGGCCATCCCATGACATTAGCCTGGAGGAGTTTGATGATGAAGATCTCTCTGAAATCACAGACGACTGTGGGATTGGACTCAACTACGACTCTGATCCATATGAAAAGGTGAGACCCTGTTGTCATTTTTTATTTATTCATTTACCCATTTTTGTACTCTATCACTGATTTGCTCACATTGTAACTACATAGCAGACAGATGTGGGCCAGATCTGGTGTGAAGCTGACACTGCAGACTGACTGCTGACATGGCAAGTGGTGTGTCAACCAGGTCTGGCAATGATGGCATTGTTTTTTTAAGACGGCATACCATAGTTTGGTTGTGGTTTGGTTTATGTGGTGCTGACCCAGGGAAGGACTAACACTGGAAAAACACATATGGGCCACCAAAGGGCCGTTCTTCTTTGTGTTATGTGGACTGAGTGTTAGAGCGTTTTGTGTGGGCCAGAACTGGGCCAAACAAATGTTGCAATGAGGGTATCTTACATCATACTTCCAACAAAATTGAATTCAGTTAAAATCAATAAAAATATGGGTCAAGTTTGGTCAAATTCATTTTCAAAGCTTTTCATTGTAGCTTGTGACCTTAAAAGTAACCATTCAAAGAAACTACATAATTACTGTATTTATTCAAGTATAATACGTACAATTAAATCCATAAAATCATTCATAAAGTTGGGGGGTAGTACTGTACTCTGATAAATATTTTTACTTATATATTTTAACTGAAATATCAGCTTCATTCACAAAATGCCTGAGTCCGGAAATGAGACCGCGTCATAAAAAGCAGTTGAAATGACCTTACCTCTGACACTCCTTCATTCTTCAGAGCGAGATAATAACAGATCCAGGCAGACGACATGATGTGAAAAAAGGGGGAAAAAAGTAGTCCTGCACCTTGGTAATGATAGCAAACTAATGACATTAGCGTGTGACTGGGCTGCTCCTCGAACAACAACAAACACATGTTCGTCTGTAATGGCTGCCGTCTACCGGTGTTCTGAAAATGTTTGTATCCCTGAAAAAAGTTTCCCCACCAGAGGGGGCACTCGCGAGTAGGAAGTAATCTGCTTTTCCCCAGAAGATGACCCAAATCCTGGTGGACTACATGTAAAATGCCAGAATTCATTTGATGCTGCTACAGTTGAAATATATTTGTTGTCAAAATACCTTTTAGTACATATGTTGTTAAAATAAAATGAACAGTCCAATGATCATTTTACTGATATGTATAAAGACTTCAAAGGCTGAAAAATCTTGAAGTCTGAATGAAATTGGAGGTAGTTTGAGGATTAAATTTTTTATGCTTTTTAAGCTCAAAAATGCGGGGGTCGTATTATACATGACATCGTATTATATATGCGAATAAATACAGTAGTTCCTAGTTTATTCAGATCTGAAAACATTCAGCTCTTTAGCTTTTTAGTACATCTTAGGAAATGGGTGTTGTTTTTTAAGTTTCTAACAAATCTGGGTTGATAGAACCACGCAATCTTAAGGTCTGGCTCGGCTCCAAATTGCATTTACCTGCTGCTATATTCATAGCATGAAACGCATGCACTACTATAGGTCCAGCTCACCCTCAGTTTATATTACAGAGTGACAAAACAGTCAAAGATAAGACATTTCAGTGCTGTCAGATGTAACAGAGTAAACGATTTCCTGAAATACCACATGGAGTCGGTTTTAAAAGAAATGACTACCACCTGATTAATGTTTTAAAACAGAACTACACATCAGCACAAACTGGTCAGTTAACAACATTAATAATCATCTTTTAGATATATTTAATACATATGTTTCAAAAAGTAAAACAGCCAGTCTAACTCATTATTGTTTATCTTGGCCTTGACTTATCTGCATTTAGGTTATTTTATATGATGTGAAAATTCACTTGAAGAGTTTCTTCTTCTTTTATTTTTTATTTTTCTTGCTTAAGAGCCTTCCCAAATCTTTTAAAGTGCCCGTGCATCCTTCAAATACAAAACATCAAAGTAAACATCTTTATATTTAGGAAACTTGACGGAATACATATAATTTGACAAATTTTGCCACTTAACTGGCATACAGTCTTCTGAATTTGCCTTACCCAGAGTTAACAGGAAGTGACATCAAAGGGGAATTCTTAAAGAAAGTGAACGGCCCAGTCTTTGTTTAATAAAACAATATTATTTGAACTCTGACTTGTTTTCGTCTCCCTCCATGACTCAAAACAATCTAAAGAAACATCAAAGTCTTCTCTGCTGTCTGTGTTGTCAGCCGTTATGCTCTGTTTACATCCAGACATTCCCATTTGACATCACTTCCTGTAACTGCACTGTTCAAATCAGTGACGTGAAAGGTTTTATTTTATTTTATTTTAGTTTAGTTTTCAAAAAATGCATTCATATTACAAAAAAGTCACAGTTACTTTACATAATAGTGAAGGTGTATCATGGACAAACTACACTGTAGTTTACACTGTAGTGTACACTGTAGTTCATGAATTACCAAATCATTAGATTTTTCAGTTTACTTCACAGGTGTTTTTTTTTTTCATGCAACTCACATGCTGTCTACCTAAATTGGCACTCAGTCATCAAAACTTGTAGAACCTTTGACACAAATGCTCGAGGAGAATGCATTAAACTTTGAGTTGTAGTGGAGTTGATTTGGCAAACTTAATAAGGCTTTATTTAGGAATGTTTTACCAATCTACAAATAAAACTTGATCTGGATGACAGCTCTCCACTTATTAATGTCAAGAATCAATTTCATGCAGCTCTCAGTATTGAGCTTAACTTTCATGACTGTTTGGCCATCTTATACCAACATTTTACTGTACTTTGATACGTTTTTGTTATTTTCTGCCCATCTAATGGGATGTAAATGTTTTATGCTGGTGGCATGGAGCCACAGCTGCAGCAGAGGGTGGGTGACCCGGTGCAGTTTGCTGCTATGCAGACAGCCTTCTTCCCTCCCTCCCTTGTGTATATCTCTCCCTCCCTCCCTCCCTCCCTACGCAGAGTGTTGCTTAGAGACAGAGCTCACACTCCCTTTTCCTTCTCCGCCACCCTTCCACTCTTCTCCCCTTAAAGCTTTCCTTCCTCATCCTTCTTGCTCTCTCATCCCTGCAGAGGTGCCTGCGAATGGGGATTTAACTCGGTGACGGTTAAGCCCCAGCATGAATATGAGTCTGATATTGCCCCCCTCCCACCATTTTAATCCACAAAGCAAACACATTATGGAAGGCCATTTAAGGTCATGTGGAACAGAGCTGTTTTTGTGTGACACACGAGAAGACATTCACAGAGAGAGAGTCTAGCTATCATACATTGGTTAACCGTGCATCAGTGGCCCGTTTCTGCTTTCACTGCCACCCACATGTTTAAACACAAACACATCATCGGGGAATCTGACTGCTCACTTCACAAACATGAAAGCACCGGGCAGAGACAGCGTCGATTCTCGTTAGCTTACATCGTCGCCCCGAGCAAGTCATTTTGCTGACACGGGATGGATGGAGCACACACACTTTGTTAACCGATGGGTGTGTTTGAGTGTGTGCTGGTATGTTTAGATGACAAGGGGGGGGGAAAGGATTTCATGGACAGAGTGCTTCATGTGGTTGATGCTTGATTTTGCTTGCATCATTAAGGAGCGTGACACTTTGTCAGCTCATCATCATCAGCAGTTATTCCCTCATCACTCTCACTCTGCTGATGAAGACAGAAGCTTAGTGTGTGTGTGTGTGTGTGTGTGTGTGTGGGGGGGGGGGGTTCAGTATGATCCAATCACATCGGGCTGTTTGTCTTTGGTGAAGAATAGCATCCTCCATTCCTGGTTCAAAGCTGTGATGAATTCAAATTTGTCGTGGACTTCAAGTCCTAATCTCTATAACTCATTAGATAAGTGTCTCACCATGAGTGCACAAATGTGATGAAAACAAATGGAGACACGTGATTCCCCTGTTCCTTTTCTTGTGGTCTCGCTCTCTCACACACTCTCCCTGCTGCTCACTGCCTCATCTCGCCCCTGATTCTTCACTTCCTGTCTTTCTAATAGCCACCCCCCTGATTGAATACCTGATTCCGTGCATAGTTCAGTATGTGACAGAGCAGTGGTGTCTGTGTTGTAGCTCCTAATTTCAAATGTTGAAATTTACAAGTACATTCAAACAGATAACTGCAGAATTTATTCATTTGTATAATCATTTTATTTGTTGTCTGTTTGTTCTGCAACCCTGCCAAGATACTCCAACCCTACTTGCTTAGAATCACTGATTACCTTGTCTATTTTTAGGCCTCTGCAACAAAATAAAGAAATAAAAAAATGCAGGTACAAGGAAAACGTGAAAATAACCTCAGCTGAAAAATAACCAGAAGTCTTCCCAAAAAAGGCAACAAAAAATGTCTTGGCCTCACTTGGACTATCCATTAGCCTGTCAGTCCAGTTAGAATGAATTATTTCTGTAAATTGAGGTTGTTAAAGGGATCCAGGATTAGTTGTAACATTAGACTTTACTTGATAAACATTTATTTTAACTGTAAAATAAAGACTGTAAAAATACTGTAGGCTGTTTGGTAAATTTTTAAAAATATATTTTAACATGGACAGAGCCATTTTATTTACACGCAAAGCATTCTGTGTAAATGATGACATGGATAGGTCCTCGGTGTGAGCGAGCTATATCCACCCTGAAGGTTAATCTTAGACAATATCTGACAATCGACTCTTTTAAATGAAACCAGAGAGCGTTGACAGAGAGGAGAAGGTAGAAATGACTCAGCCTGTAACTGAAAATGTGGATGGAGGACAACAGAGCTGCTTCATGGAAGAAGAACCTCAGCTTAGCCTGTTAGCCTTCGTGCTAACGCCGACAATATTTTTACATTCCCCTCTCTGTCATGTGGATGGAGGACCTCAATGACGAGAGGAGAATGTGTAGCACTGAGCTAATACATATATATGGTGATAGCATCGGGGCTAAAGCTAAAGCTAACAGGCTAAGCTGGGGTTCTTCTTCCATGAAGCAGCTCTGTTGTCCTCCATCTATATTATCAGTTACAGGCTGAGTTGTTTCTACCTTCTCCTCTCTGTCAACGCTCTCTGGTTTCATTTAAGAGTCGATCATCAGATATTGTCCAAGATTAACCTTCAGGGTGGATATAGCTCGCTAGCAGCCTCGCACCGAGGACCTATCCACTTCATCATTTACCCAGAATGCTTTGCGTGTAAATAAAATGGCCCCATCCGTGTAATATATTTTTAAACTTTTAGTTTAAAAATTATAAAAACTGAACATCCTACAGTATTTTTACAGTCTTTATTTTACAGTTCAAATATGTTTATCAAATAAAGTCTGTCACAAATAATCATGGATCCCTTTAAAGAGTTATCGATAATAAGTAAGACATACTGTTCGATTTGGAAGTGTTTCGATTATTTTTATGTTACTAAAGTTGTATTTATCTCCAAATAGCAATTTTGTTTCTTTAAAATAAACAAAGCTCTGTCAGGAATTATACTTAATAAATAAAAAATATGTGAATGTACTTTATTTGCAAGTTGGCACTCCTACCATTGCTCCATGTCCACCCCAAAAGCAGACATAAACACAAATTCACAATCACAATTTACACCAGATAAGCACAATATTAAGGAAATTAGTCACAAGTAAATATTTATAAATCTTAGAAATACATCATAATGTCATGACAGTCGTTTAAAAACTGACACCATGTTAACCTTGTCGTAAAAGATGAGAAGAAGCCCTGCACATCTGCATTAATCATTGAACACAGGCTTTTATGGGCTATATGCTGTTATTATTTGGTCTCCCTAAGGTGTTTGGTGCTTTCACTACAAACCCACCCTGTTTTCAGCTCAACCCCCCACCTCTGCATCCACTTTTCGTCTCTGAAATTTATGGTTCACTGGTTTCCCCTTTCACTTAGAGATCATATGTCTCTGATGATTTCCTCTGTCAGCTTGTCAGATAAATAGGCAATATGGCCCTGCAGTTTGACCCAAAGTCTCTGTTCTCTTTGGTGAACGTAGTCATTTAAAGTGTGGCAGCCATCTCACAGATCCTCCTATATGCAGAGTTGATAAGTATAGAATTCATGCTGAACAAGACCCCCCCCCCCCCCCCGCTCAGCCACTGAATATTTCTGTTACCTTTCTGCTGGGCGCTGCAGCAGAGCAGTAATAAATGTATAAATGTCTGTAGTTGGTGTAAAGCTGTTGAAAAACTGTGAAGAGGTACAGTTTGAGTGTCTTGGTACATAATTGGATTTACTCTGAAACTATTTGACACCTGCAAAAGCACACGTGAGAGTTAAATTCATTCACAAGGCCCCCCTCTCCCACAGGAGTGCAGGTTTCCCTGCTGATCGACTGGATTGGGTGTTATGTCCTTGGGAACTGAAGACTGCAAAGATTGATTTTTGCCATCACACTGCTGCTATTATAGTTTTTTCCCCCTCAAACCTGTTTTTCTGTCAGATGGCCTTGCTGGAGGATGCATCCTGACAGTGTAAATTATTCTCCTGTGGCAAGAGGAGGCATTTTCACAACCCAGTTATGAATCTGTGGCTTTTACCCCGTCATGTCGTTATAGGTCAGATTAGCTGAAGTGATGGATTCTTATGGATTAGTCAGTGTGTGGAAAAAGAGTTTTGACTGCAGCATTTGAGAATATTTTCCTCACTTGCGATAAGAACCACAGCTCTTTTTCCAAACCTTTCATCACATCGTAACAATTAAATCGTCAAAAATAGATATGTTAATAAGGTGAAAGTGCGCATGTTCATGTGCACTGCTTAGGCAGTAGACTGAGTGTTGATGTTAGTTGCAGTAGCATAAAATAGATGCATCAGCAGGTTTGTGTGTGGAGAGTGGGTGAGCTTTGATTCCTCCATTAAACAGACGGCCCAGAAAGTGCTGCGCTTGTCAAAGTGAGAAAACAGGCAGATCGATCGCTGCATTGTCGAATTTGGAGTAGGGACTTTAAATGATCATCAGGAAAAAAAAGAGCTAAATAGTTTTATTTTTACACATGCATTTGTTTTTAAATGATATGAAAAACATTTTAACTTTTGCAGTTTGTTAGTGAGTAGATGGTGGATGTGAGATATCTTAAGGGTTCAGAAAACTGGGTTGCATTTCGTAAATTAAAAATATTTTTATGCCTACTTTTCGTCTCACGCAGACATGCACAAGGAAGTGTGGTCGACTGAACCTGAAAATCATTTAGCGTCCAGCTTTCCGGTAAACAAGCTGAAACCTGATAGATCCTTGATCTGCTCCTGTTTCATTACCCAGCAGCCCTGCTACTCGGCTGCTCTGTTATTCTGCTCTCCACTAAGTCCTGCTTCTTTTTGATTATTTGAGAAATAATTAAAGGTTTTTGGGACAAAATAGTTGCATTTGTGATCAGTTTTCATTATTTTTCAGCTTTGTGGAGTATAATACACTTAAATAATTTTGCCATTTAAGACACATTTTGTAAAACTATTAGTGCAGTTTTTTCTTCACATTTTTTATATTTATAAACTTAGCAAAAATATTAAGACAATTGTTTGGTAGTTATTTCTTTGTTGTAACAATGCTTCTTGGCAATAAATCCTTTGTCATGGAGAGCCTGTTAAAATATTTTTTTAAATGGAGCCACATTTGTAAGGAACATGCATTTGTGGGATGAGCAATAGAGCTGAGCATGAGTTGCGCACATGACAAATTTGCCAAATCTTCTCTGCCAGTTTATTTTACTGTTGCTATTGACAAGTTTTAAGCTCTGGTACCCACAGGTGCTGCCAATCAGGTGCCCGATATAATATTAATTGCCAAGAAGCATTGGTAGAACTTATGAAATAATCTACCAAGCACACACATTTTCTTAATTTGTGCACTAAATATGTGTAAAAATGTAAAATTTGTGTTTTGTTTTTACTTCTTCTGTCTTAGTTGTTTTAACGCATTTTAATCTAATTCGTCTATTTGCTTTCTTAGTTCTAATTTGTATTTTGTCAAATTTTACAAATAAGAGAAAGTGTTTATTATCTGAATTTATGTTTAGACAGTTGCTCGTAAAACTGTATTTTTGTCTGTGAAACATAAAACCTGATAATCCGCTGACATTTAAGGGTATACTTGAATTTTGTGTCCCTTTGTACACACACATTCATAGATGGACAGAATGTGGATCACTGCAGTACTTTGATATTTGCTGTTTTTTGTGTGTTTCACAAATGTCCTCTGTGTAATTAAAGGACGCCATGCTGCCATCCTTCTGGCTTCTTCTAATTTTATTCGCCCTTCAAACACGCTTCGTTCTCTTGTTTGTTCCTCCCTTGTTCTCAGAACAAAACATGCTTTAATGAGCATGGCTATTATCGCATCTCTGCCAAGAGAGTGTGAAAATGAAAACTGTTGCTAATTTTGTAATACGTGCCTATAAGCAGCATCCCTCTTCCCTCTCTCTCAGGATTCCCTCATTCTGGAGAAGAATGACATACACCACCCAGTCTGCTCCTTCCAGGATGACTTCCAAGAGTTTGAGATGATTGACGACGAAGATGAAGATGATGAGGAAGAGGAGGACGTTGACCCTGATGCACCTCCGTCTCCTTCAGCTTCCCCTTCTCTTTCTCCAACTCTTGGAACCGTGAAGAGTAGACCGACGACACTGAACCTTACAGCTGCTGTGTCACAGGTAAACAAACCGAGGCTCTTTGTAAAGCAAACGCTTCTTTGGCTTTTGCAATCTTCACTTAATGTTGGCCATGTTGTGTTTCTTTAATTAGGATTCGCTGAACAACAACAGCAGCCTGTCTCCGAAAAAAGGAAGCTGGCAGGATTCTTTACGCAACCCAGCTTCACAAGGTGCGAACATCAAAACATATTGATTAAATTCCCATGAATCATTTTTTCTCAGTCATTTGTTTGCATTAATTTCAATGCACGTGTGAAAGTACTTCAGATATTGCTAGTTTTTAACACAGCTGGCTCTTCATACAATCAGAAACAAGGAATCTGTTGTACCTGCAGGTCGTCTGTCTCCAACCCACTCCTGTTTGGTGGATGGTAGTCATGTGACAGGCCAGTGCCCGGCCTCTCCAGTTTCCCAGGCTCCAGGGTCTCAGAGCAAAGGTACTCCACCAAAACAGGCAGGGGAGGGCGGGAACCCCCAGTCTCCTCACAGGCCCCTCCTCTGTGACGTGGAGGGCAACAGGCGGGAGAGGCCCGAATACGGTAACAAGGACGGCTGCCCCAGAAAGCTTAAAATTCATTCCATTCACATTAATCAGTCTAATGCTGTACTTTTTTGTGAAATAATGCAATTTGACTTCAGTGAGAATTCGGTTACATACTGTTGATTCTTTCAAAAGAAGCGCTTTCTAAGTTACAATTTAGGGAATTAAAAATTATTTATTATATGTGAATTGCGTTTCACTTCTTGCCTTTACCACTTATTCATGCCAAAAATTAGAAATGTCCTAATTTTTCTGTAATGTTGGGGGCTGCCAAACTGGCAGACTGGTTCTTCAAATAGAACGTTTCCAAGACCACACTTTGAAAGTGAGCTGCAAAGAAACTTAAAGGGGCAATATTATGTGTTTCTCAGGCATATATTGAAATTCTATACCATAATAAAGTAACTATGTCACCTTCAATTGTTATTAAAATGCTGTTTTTATGTTTAAATCAAAAATTAACTCGACTTCTCATTCGTTTCCGTTTCTAAACGCCTTGAAATTGGCTTCTGTCTCTTTAAGAACCTCCTTCTGATCCCGCCCATTTCAGCATGTCATCATAGCCGCTCCTCTCTTGTTTACAAGCTGGAGTGTCGTAGCATGCTTTGTTGTAATGATAATTAAAAAAGCAGCAACATTATACAAGATCGGTTTTTGAAAATTCAGGATACACATGAACCTTACTGTCAGACTGGAAAGTCTGTTTATTAAAGAAGTGATTACAGAGCCGATGTTTCAGCTGGTAAGATCACACACACACACACACACACACACACACACACACACACACACNCACACACACACACACACACACACACACTTATCGTAATAAGTTACAAATCTTAACACATAGACCAAACAACATGTGAACAAAACAACGTGAGTTGTTTTTCAGCTTACCTGTGCAGGTGACAACGGTGTTTAATCCAAAAAGGACTGAAATGAGAAGCTGTTATTTGACGCGGTTTCACATGTCCGTCGTGTTTTTTGTTCCTGCCGCCTGCAGGAGTCATGAGGGGGTGCGCAGGGGGAGGTGTGCTCTGTGTTGAGGAAGCTCGGTTCAGAAACACAGCCCAAAAGGCAATTCTATTCCCAAAAGTTGGTTCTAGGGTCAACCAGTCATTTTTGCTCCCCTACCTGGCTGCCTCAGGACACCACAGGATTTCTCAAACATGCATGAATGAGTCAAAGCAAGATAGTGGGCATGTATTTGATTAAAGGATAACATTATAACATGATATAAAGCTCAAAAAAGTTGATTTTACATGATATTGCCCCTTTAAAGATGTAGGTATTTTGCCTGTTGGAAATATTTTGTAGTCAGAACAATGATGATAATGTCTACTCTGATTCCATTTTTAAAAAATTTGATGTCATTGTCAATCTTTTTAACAAAAAGGCATAAGAACAGTATAAAATCATCTTTGATTTTTGCATGCTATTCCAAGCTTGATAATCAATCACAGGCATATTGGAACTTTGCTATAATGTGTTCATAGAAAGGATTTGAGATATTAGATAATATAATGACTTTCTAAAGGGGTGTTTTGATTTTGTAGGGGAACGTTTTACTACCCCTTAAAACTCAAAACCTAAAGATAAGGGTAGATGCAACAACAGGAAATGGGATTCAGTCTAACCCCTACTTGACACCCCAGATATGTCTCCCTATGCCTTCTTCTCATCATCATCTACTTCATAAGAACAGTGTTGTGTGTATAGTCACTCTCCTAAACCCTGTCTTCTTTCTTGACACTTTCTATGTTTGTAGGCTCATTTGGTCACCACAGGTCTCACCCAGGCTCCACTGATTTTACTGAACCAAAGACAGACCCTTCAATCCAGACAGCCAGGGTACCCTCCTTAGACGAGCACTCCCAGTGTTCAGACACCGAGGTGGATCATGACCTCAACAGCGACCATAATCACAAACACTCAAACCGGCGCCCCACAGACACCTACACAATCACCAGCGAGTCAGGAATGGAGCAAGAAAATGATCTCGACCCAGATGGAACCAGTCATTGTTTGTCATCCACGGCACCCATGGGAGCTAACGATGGGGCTGATACACCCTTGTCTGATGAAGAGTTGGAAAAGGACTTTGAAGTAGAGTTTATGTGTAAGGAGACATATGATATTGTGTGCAAGGAAAACCAGCTGTCATATGTGGAATTCCCCTCCATTGAACCCCATGAGACTGCACTGTTCTCCAGCTACCAATCATCAAGCCGCTCAGAAGCTCTCGACCAGTCCAACAGTTCAGAAGCTCTATCGCTTTCTGCCACAGTTGCAGGAGCTAATGATTCCACCTCTCCATCCTCAGACCCCGGGATAGCAGATATGAACCAACAAGGTTATATGACCTCAGACCAAGACAAAGACCTCAGTTCTCCAGGCTCTGATTCGGATGTTGAAGGGGAGCTAGAGGCAGCGTTTTCTTGTGGAGGACCTGTGGTTTCAAACATGATTTCCTCTATTTCAGAGACAGAATTAGACTTGACTAGTGATGAGAGCAGTAGTGGACGCTCCTCTCACCTCACCAACTCTATCGAAGAGGCCAGCTCACCTACATCAGACCAGGAACTGGATCCAGATACAGAGTTGGAGCAGGACAGTGGAATAGTTGGACTGAAAGCATCACTGCTTCTGGGTCAGCCTGACCCGATTAAAGAAGGTTCTCTGGTACCCTCTCCTTCCCCTCTTCCCTCACCCACTATTGCCACTCCCTCCCCCATTGACTCCCCCATCTTACCCCCTGAGCCCTACGACGACGATCAAGCTCTGATGGGATTGCAGAGTGTTGATGATGAGCTGTCTTGTGAACACCAGGCTGATCCGGACGAAACTCTGCCTCCAACCCAATGCTGTGAGGACCATATGTCCAGACCAATGGTGCTTGAGATAGAACCAGACCATGGTCTAGAGAGCTTTAAGCGCTCCTTCTATCTCCCAGTGGGGCCCAGGCTAATGCCAAGTCAGGATGATTATGATGAAACAAGTGAGGGAGACTCTGAATCAGAAAGTGAAGATGATCTGAGTGAGAACTCTGATTCTCCCTGGCTTCTAAGTAACTTAGTCAACAGGATGATCTCAGAGGGCTCGTATCCCATCAGCTGCCCCGAAGAGTGTTTCCAAAGAAAAGCATCTGTGTCTGATACCATCTCACCATCATCAGATATTGGGGAGGGAGATAGTTTCAATGATGAGGTACAGGAAACTAAAGCAGATATGAAGAAATCGCAGGGAAGAGATAAGGAAGGTGAAGGCTATCAGAAAGAGAACGTAGAGCCAACGAGAAGCCAGAATGATGAGTCATCAAATGAAGGGGCATTAATAAGTTCTCAGCCCTATACGAGCAACCCTGCTGCCGCCAATTCCCCACTGATTTTAGAATGCTGTGCAAAGAATGAGAGGGGAACTATAGATTTAAACCCTGTGTACACTGCAAAAGACTGTGACAAGAACTCCACAGGTAAACAATCAAAGAATGCTTGGAGACAAGAGGATGAGGAGCCCAATAATGACTTGATGATGCTGGAAGGCAGAAGGGATTTGGACTCACCCAGCCTTAGTGAGAGTGTGATCAGTGACAAGGACGAGGGTCGAGAAACAGAGCCCAGGCCAACAAGTCGCTCAACGGCCTCTCTTGAGCGAATCACAGAGGTCAAACACAGTCTGACACTGGATATACCCTCTGCTCAAACCAACCGCTGCTTTAGCCTCACTTACTCCACAGACAATGACGAAGAAGAGGAGGAGGACGGTGACTCCTATCCTTTCCTAGGCAGCTTGAGGAAGCAGTCCTATAATGATAGTGATTTAGAGCTTGACAGCTCGCCACCCATCGATTCCAGTGTTCACAATCATTCATTACCTGACCATGACCTCCCACTGTGTGAGAAAGATTTGGCTCTACGGCAGCCAAATGAAGATGATGGGCTGGCCTATGACTCCATGAAGTACACGTTAGTGGTGGATGAGAATACAACACTGGAACTGGTTAGCCTTAGAAGGTATGCAAGAAAATGATTTTGAAAGATGAAAAAAACTGAGCATCAAGTGTTGAGCATAAAGTCTTTGTCATTTTTGTTTCTAGCAGTGGTCTACCCTTCAATCTAAGACTGGTGTTTTGTCTTCATAGGTGCACCTCAGTTCTGAGTGATGAAAGCGAGCTTTCAACTCCATGCGATGGCGAGACATTGGGGATCGATGATGTTGACTATGTTTGCAAAAATGCGGAGGTTAGGCCAGATCTTCTCAGCTCGTCTGAAGACTCATCTCCAGAGGCTGACCTGCCATTTTCCAAGAAGTTCCTTAATGTGTTCGTCAACAGCACATCACGCTCTTCCAGTAAGTTGCACACAAAACTTTCCTCTGCAGGAGTTTATGATATGCCATATTGTTTCTTTTTATTGATAAAGTATAAGGAAAATGAACTTCACTTTATATTTAGTATGCTAGTCTGTGAGCTAAAGGCTAAAGACTATAGACATGAGAAATAGGAAAATAGGTTGTTGGGCTTTATCAGTAATATCAACTAATACCCTAAAAAAATATTAGTCAGATACTTTGCTTTTAAATTTCTACTTCATATGAAAGATGATATCCATAATGAAAAACTCATTATGTTTTTTTTCATTTTTTAATTGTCAACAAATCTAGTCAACTTTCAAGTTGACTCCTTCACAAAAGCTTCCAAAATCCTAAATGTCAAAAGGGAAAAAAAGAACAAAAAGAAAAAGAAAAAAGAAAAACAACAACAAAACCATCAATAAACAACAACATAACTTCTCTACCTGTTTACCATGTAGGCACAGAATCTTTTGGACTTTTCTCGTGCACCATTAATGGCGAAGAGAGGGACCAGACACACAGGGCAGTTTACAGGTAAGGATACTTTTAGGATACTTTGTCATCTTTAACCATAAGAAAGCAACAGTTGTTATTCTAATGATGAGGAAAAAGTAAATCATGCATCAAGTATCCAACACATAACAATATTTTTAATTGAATATTAAAGTGGTGTTTTGAAAATATTTACATTTGTTATATTATTTTATATAGTTTAGTTAGTATTTAGATGGGTAAGGTGTATGGGGTAAGAGGACTGTCAGAATCATTGTATGTGTAAGAGTCCAAATTTGTACATGTAAGTCTATAAACGTACATGAATTTGTTACAACTTTGCCACATTACAAGTACAAATCAAATTTACAAGTACAATTCTTATGTGAGAATACAAGTTTTTAAGTTACAAATACAAGTTAAAAGGTTACAACTTTGCCACATTACAAGTACGAATCAAATTTACAAGTACAATTCTTTTACCTGTCAAAATAACAGACATAATGCACGGAACACCGAAAAGATCGATTGCAAACAGTAACTAAGCCAGACCACTAGGGGGACATGACCACTGCCTCATTTGGGACCAGATGAACTCTTTATAAACACAATTCGCTGAAGGGAAAAGCATTTGGAGGCTTTTCAATTTGTCATTCATGTCATGTAGTACAACAATAAAGTAGATAGTGGATTTATGATGAAATATGTTATTTTATTTAATTTTTACTTTAACACTGTCTGATTTAATTTTTTTTAAACAGAATCCTGCTTTTATGATAGTCTTTTTTGAACATTTATTTTATTTTTCTATATTCCTTTTTTTCTTTGTCAAAATGTTTTGATTGTGTAAAGCACTGATTTGTCTTGTTGCTGAAATGTTTAATATGAAGCTGCCTTGCCTCAGGTCAGCATCACAATAATTAATATACAATGGAGTGATGATGAAATGTTCCAAATTATTTATAGACCATATTTTTAAGCAAYTTYTCTTTAACTTATGATACTGTTAACACTACTCTACACTACTACTGAAGACTGGAGCCAGGTGGAGAACAAACCTTCAGATGGTTGAAGTACAGACGTCTTTATGACCTGCAGAATATCAGGACTGATGCTGGAGCTTTCTGATACATTTGTGCATTAAGGTGTCAGAAATACTCAGAAACACCACGACAGGCCAGAGCAGGGAGATGAAAATGAGTCAGTGAAAATATTAATTTCATTTTAGTGACCACTGAAAGAAATATCAGTAAAAAAAATAATTTTAATAAAAATGAAGTATTTATGTCACAATGTAGTAGTAATAACAGTAGTACACTATATTATGTGTTAAAATTGTTATTTGCGATACATTTCATTAAACATTTTAACAATTTACTGCCCCCCCCCCCCATTGTTTCATCTATCACTCACAGCTCAGTTAGGTAAAAACAAAAGTGTTGAATATTTAAAAATTTTATTTATTAAAGTAAAACCATCATTCAATGTCAAATAAATGAAAACAAACAAATATAAAAACAAACAAATATAAACAGATTAAACATCCTGAGTTTAAAAAAATATGTCAAGGCCTGGTGTTTGACTTCCTCAGCTCTAAACAGGACATTTTAAAACTGTACATTTGCATTAACTGAATTTTTCAGCTGTCATGAAGGCTTTAAAACCCAGATGAACAGATTTTGTTCCAGTGTCTCCTCATCCTGCTGCTGGTTCAGTTCTTCAGATGGTCAGGAACTCCATAACCTCCTCGTCCACCTGTCAGATGTAGGTGTGGATGTAGAGGACATCTGTCCTGGGTCCATGGATGGGCTGAATGCTGCTCGCTGCATCAACTGCACTTATCTGAATCACTGAAAATCAACAGGTTAACAAGACTGATTTATTTTAACTTTATTTAATGAATTATATTAACTTTATTTCTATTAGGTTTATAATAATACTGCTAATACAACTATTTCACCTGATGTGGGGTGGAACTGACTTCCACTGGTTGTACTCTCACTGATGGAGCCTGATGGTCTCAGTCCTGCTCTGATATAAAGGTCTGGAGACAGGTCCTCAGTGGGTCCACAAACAGATTCAGGTCCATGTTGAATAAAAGTAAATTAAAAAGAACACAGTTATAATTTCACACAGTCACAGCCAGCAGTCTCATTAACCAGACAGCAAACATTTTTCTACACATATTGGTCACTAAAATCTGAAGGATGTAGTTTGGTAGTAGTTAAAAATAGGTTAACTAAGTTAAACACAGTTTAACTTTGATTTATGGTGATTCTAATTAAAATCAATGTCCGTGTAGTTCTGACAAAGCTTTAAAAATGTAGCCAACAAGGTCTTGATAAACAAAACAAAATATAGTCAGAGAAAGCTTTTTAAACTAACTGTTAACACCAATTAGGTTTTTGTTCTTTTCCAGCCGTTTTAAATAAACTTCGACTGATTAGGAAACATGAGGCTGTTGTTTCTTTCCTATTATAATTATGCTTGCACTAACACCATGCTAACAACAACAGCAATCAACAAAGCTCTACTTTCAGCATAGAAACTGTTTAAACACATCCTCTTACAAATACTGACAAGTACTACGTGTACCAAATGTGAAATAAATAACACAAACTACTATTAAAAGTAAAAAGAGTTTAACTTACAATTGTTTAGGGGTTTGATGGTGGGCGACTCGAGTCGCCCTGCTCGCCGGGTCAGAGCACTGTCGTTATGTGTTTTTGAACTTGCATTATTTTTTCCATTACGCAGTCGGTTTTATGAATGCATCAGTTTTCTTTTTTGGTTGTTCATCATAAATCCACTATCTACTTTATTGTTGTACTACATGACAGGAATGGCAAACTGAAACGCCTCCAAATGCTTTTCCCTTCAGCAAATTGTTGTGTTTATAAAGAGTTCATCTGGTCCCAAATGAGGCAGTGGTCATGTCCCCCAGTGGTCTGTTAGTTACTGTTTGCAATCGATCTTTTCGGTGTTCCATGCATAATGTCTTATTTTTACAGGTAAAAGAATTGTACTTGTAAATTTGATTTGCACTTATTAATTTGATTCATACTTGTAATGGGGCAAAGTTGTAACAAATTCATGTACGTTTATAGACTTACATGTACAAATTTAGACTCTTACACATACAATAATTCTGACAGTTCTCTTACCCGATAAAGGTGTGTTTAAATGTTTTGTGTGTGTGCTGTGGAGGTTGTGTATGGTAATGCATAATTACGGTAATTATATTAGAGAGGAAGGCAGATGTCACATCTGCAAGGTCACTAACAATAATCATATCAGCCACCACCTGTAGCCATGTGTCTGTGTTTGGGCGGCTGTGGTGGTGTGGTTAGGGGAGTCATCCCGTAACCAGAAGGTTGCCGGTTTGATCCCTCGTTACAGCCGTCTATGTCGTTGTGTCCTTGGCAAGACAATTCACACGCTTTGCCTACTGATGGTGGTCAGAGGGTCCGGTGGTGCCAGTACATGACAGCCCCACCTCTGTCAGTGTGCCCCAGGGCAGCTGTGGCTACAATGTAGCTTATCATCATCAATATATGAATGTGAATGTGAATGGGTGAATTTCTGTAAGTGTAAAGTGCTTTGGGGTCTGGAGCGACTTGATAAGGCGCTATATAAGTTCAGTCCATTTACCATTTGTGCACAAGCACCCAAACACAGAGCAAAGAAAAAAAATCATGATGTAATAACTGATTTCTTGGAGAATATTTTGTGTTCCCTTTTTCTAATTCTTAATGAAATTGAGGCAGGTAAGGAAAAGTAAGAATATTTGAGAATGTCTTCTATTTTGATTTGATGCTCTTCGCAGGTTCATTCCCAGACATGCAGATGAGCTGGAGCTGGACGTGGATGACCCTTTGTATGTGGAGGAAGAAGAGGATGACTACTGGTACAGAGGCTATAACATGCGGACAGGAGAGAAAGGGATCTTCCCCGGCTTTTATGCTCAGGAGGTCATCAGCCAGTCGAAAGAGTTGCTTGGTGAGTGAAAAGAAACATCCACTTCTATAATTTAACACAACAGAGAATTTCCTAGAAGTTTTTTTTTTCCCCACCGATTAGGTCTGAAAAGAAATCCAGCATGGATTGAGACTTTTAGTGTCCAGTTTTTGGGGTCCGTAGAAGTACCGTACCACCAAGGCAACGGCATCCTCTGTGCCGCCATGCAAAAGGTAAGAAAAGGGAACACATTAAAGCACAGATACATTCTAAAAAAACATTTTTATTCTGACTAAAAGTCTGCTTTAAGCATGAACTGAGGCCTTGAAAACAACATGAACACATTTTCTGACCTTTAGATTGCGATATCGAGGAAACGGACGGTACACGTGCGACCTCCATCTCTGTGTGAGTTAGAGATCAGCTTGCAGGGTGTAAAGTTAATTATGAGTCTGGAAGATGAATATGACACCCTCGATGAGGTAAATAAACGAATCAATAAATAAATCTGATGTGGCTCACTAGTAGTTACATTTTGATCTCTGTCTGTCTCCTCTCATCTCCAGTTTGACAGATGTAGTCACTTCTTCCAGATGAAAAACATCTCATTCTGCGGATGCCATCCGAGGAACAACTGGTGAACAAGCAAACCCGTTTTCTGTCCTCCTGTTACTTCTGACATCTGACTGGTTGCATCACATTGTTTTTCTTCTCTCTGCAGCTACTTTGGCTTCATCACAAAGCATCCAATGCTGAACAGATTTGCTTGCCATGTGTTTGTATCCCAGGAATCCATGCGGCCTGTGGCTGAGTGTGTAGGGTATGTCCAGATAATTGTCCTAATGTCAATTCCTTCAAAACAGAAACAATGTAATGCTGAGAACCCTTTTGCTTTTCCGTTTCTTTTGTGACATTACATACATTATGTTTAATTTGGACAAACTGGAGAGGGTAAATAAAGTTGGATTTAAAGGGTTATTGGGGGTAACGATACCTACCGTATTTATTCAAGTATAATACGTTAAATTTAATCCATAAAATCATCCATAAAGTTGGGAGGTAGTATTATACTTGGAGAAATATTTTTACTTATGTATTTTAACTGAAATATTGGCAAAATGCCTGAGTCTGGAAATGAGACCGCGTTGTAAAAAGCAGTTGAAACGAGCTTACATCTGACACTCCTCCGTGCTTCAGAGCGAGATAATAACAGATCCAGGCAGGCGACATGATTTGAAAAAAAGGGGGGAAAAAGCAGTCCTGTACCTCAGTAATGATAACAAACTAATGACGTTAGCATGTGACCGAGCCGCTGCTGGAACAACAACAAACACATGTTCGTCTGTAATGGCTGCCGTCTRCYGRTGTTCTGAAAAAGTTTGTATCCCTGAAAAAAGTTTACCCACCAGAGGGGGCGCTCGCGAGTAGGAAGTAATCGGCTTTTGCCCCAGAAGATGGTCCAAATCTCATGTGAAGTCTCCAACTTTTGTGTTGGCGCATCCTGGTGGACTATGTGTAAAATGCCAGAATTCATATGATGCTGCTGCAGCTGATATACAGTGTATTTGTTGTCAAAATACCTTTTAGTACGTATGTTGTTAAAATAAGATGAACAGTCCAATGATCATTTTACTGATATGTATAAAGACTGCAAAGGCTGAAAAAGAAGTCTGTATGAAATTGGAGGTAGTTTGAGGATTAAATTTTTTATGCTTTTTAAGCTAAAAACGGGGGGGGGGGTATTATACATGAGATCATCTTATACACGAAATATGACAAATGGTAAATATGACAATTTATATGATTGTCAGAAGTGGAAAAACGAGAACTAGCGGTAAAATTTTCAAAAACCTATATTTTATTTGCTTCCTTTATTATTATTTGTATTTTTTATAGTATGGTAATGACCTGAGCAAATGATTTTCCCTATTTGTAATTGCAAAGAATAGTAAACAAACAACTTCAGCGTTATTTACTCTTTACTATTTTAGCATTTTAGACACTTATGATTAAATTTTCCATTTTGTGCCAAATTTTTTGTATTTCCCTCCAATTCATTTCAAAAGAAAACATAATACTTTACATTATATCACTGTAACCTGACACTTTTAGACAGAAAAAGCTCAGAATTTTTGCACTATTTTTAGATGCATGCAGCTGTCGAGTCAAATTATTGCATCAGTCATGTCTCATTTAGCCAAAGTGGATTTGAATAATTGAAGATGCAGGTAGTTTACTGTCTGTAAGGAGGTTTAGAGCAGGATGTGCAGCTTAGTTTAGTTATTTTCTTCTAGATGAACACAAAACTAGAACCTACCTTAACGTTTCATAAACTAACACTATGGTTGAATGAAAAATAACTATTTGTGTTTGCAAGAAAAATCAAGTAAATTGTGAAATTTAGAGTCTAAAATGTTAGCTCTCACGTTTGTCTTTTTTTTAGTCGAGCCTTCCAGGAGTACTACCAGGAACATCTGGAGTACGCCTGCCCCACTGAAGACATCTATCTGGAGTAAGACGAGTTCCAATGACAACACTTTTCCCTCAACAGCTTGTGTACATTTGTCAAGTTTGCCAGCAGAGGACGCTCTCAGTGTTTTTCTTTTCTTTTTTTTCTCCCAGCGCCATTGTAAAATACTTTTCCTTTCCTATTTAAACAGGGATTCTCATTTCTACAATATGCTAGCCACCTCACTGATTATGGTCGCCTCTTTTTTCTATGATCTCAACAGAGTGATTGCTTCTGTCTTTTATTTTTTTATAATATTAAACTACAATGCTGAGCGCCTGTTTATTTAAACAGTTCCTCTTTTCAAATGCAAACATTAATACCTACTACGGCTGTTTCACTTCTCAATGCATGGCTAGTAGGGTTACTGCACAGACACACCAAGAAATACACATATCCAAGTGAATGACAAGCAATTCAACAATCAAAGGGGGATGGTGTAGAATCAGGTGGCTGGCATTTCAGTTACCTGTAAATATATACTTTTTTCAGCACTGACAAGCAGCTAATTTGCTTACTTTTAATGATGGTATTTGAGTTTACTAAAGAAAGCGAGGGGCCTTTTGTTCAAGCTTCCTCAGTGTCTTGTACAAGACATAGTGTGTGTTGTAAATATGTGTATAGAAAGTAGATGTACATCAGCTTCATTCAAGCTAATAAAGACACAGTTGGGACTGAATTTGTTCTTAGTTTTGATGGTGGTAAAAAAAAGTCTCAGTCTGACATGAGTAACACCTGGTCTAGAAGTTATTATAAAAAGTTGACTTGGAATGAACTTTTAAGGTCATATTCTGTTTTCTTTGAAGTAGATCCAGTAACTGTAAGAAAATCTGAATATGTCAGCACTGTTTTTTCTTCTGTCCAGTCCTGAAAGTTGCACTGATTGTTGACTTTTACCACAATTAGCTTTCATGCAAACATGCAACGGTTACATTTGTAAACTGCTTTGTTATGAATGATGGGACTTTTAAGTCGAAGATAGCTAAGGCCCTCTGACAAGCCATATTCTCACAACTCTCACTGTCTAACTCTGGTTGTTTGGGTTTTGTTCTGGTCTCCACTTTCTTTTGACTTGGACATACAGTATCAATGAGGGAAACGGATTGACTAGATCAGCCAGTAACTCAAAATCTACTCATTCTTGATCCTGGTATCACAGTGAAATCAGCTTTTATTATGACATTTAAGCAACAGTCCAGATCTGATGAAGTGGGGTTCTGTGAAAAGGTTTTGGACAGTTTATCTTCTCTGCTGAAGACAGCTCTTTGATCAACCACTTTTTACAAAAACTAGAGCTCTTGATATACTGGTCTCTCTACTCCAATTCTCACCTGTGGTCCTGAAGTATGGATCATGATCAAAAGTACAAGGATACAAGTGTGACGAGCTTCTTTCGTAGGTCAGCCAGGCTCAGTCTTAGAGATAGAGTGAGGAACTCCCTTATCTGTGTCAGTAAAGGTGGGTCAGGCATCTGATTAGGATGCCTACTGGACCCCTTCCTTTTGAGGTTTTCCAGGCACATCACACTGGGACAAACTTGGACCTGTTGTCTTCATGACTCATAACCAGTAAAATATGTAGTTTAGTTCAGACTAATTAATGAGCTAACAGGTTTTTGTAAATGTCTGATCTGACATGATCTGATTTTAGATTTGAGTTATTTTAAGAACGTAGACTGACTGATTTCCTGATCAGTCTACATTCCTACCTTCACTTATGGCCACAAACTTTGGGTAGCGACTGAAAGAACAAGATCATGGACACCGGCGGTCAAATTGAGTTTTCTCTGCAGGGTAGCTGCACTCTCCCTTGGCGACAGGGTGAAAAGTTTCAATTAGCTGGGAGAAACTCAGAGTACAGCCACAGCTAAGTTAAAGTGGTTCTGGAGTCTGGTAAGGGTGCCTCCTGGACAGCTCTTTAAGGAGGTACTTCAGGCATGGAAGGAGAGCCCAGGGAACACCCAGGAGATGCTGAAGACCAGGTCTCGTCTGGCCTGGGAATCCTCCCAGAAGAGCTGGAAGAGGTGGCTGGGGAAAGAGATTTCTGGGCCTCCCTTCTCAAACTGCTGCCCCCAAGATCCGACATAGAATAGGCAGAAGTTAATAGAAGGTTGGATGGAGATATTTTAAAACAATATAAACTTTTTATACACTTTCCATGGAACCACACTTCAGAAGATTTGAACTAACCCTTTTAGAGGGAGGTTTTCCCATGTATGTCCTGATGCATCTCAGTAATCCAGGTAAAAAATCAAAAAGAAAAAAATTGTATAGGTCTTCTGGACGGGTTCTTCTCTAATGAAACGTTTCGTCTCTCCTCCAAGAGACTTCTTCAGTCTGAGAGTTTCAGGCAAAATTCAGGCTTTTAAGCACTGCCTCCATGTGACTGATACTCACATCACATTGCTATCGTTGACACCTAATTAACACCTATTGTTAACGGGGTGGAGTGATACTGGCAATAGCAGCTCTGTAGGAGGGGGACAAATGAAAACGGAGGCCTCCACCTCTGTTTAATGATGGATGGTCTTTCTTCACAAAAATGGCTTCTTTTACTCCTCTCTCAAACCAACGTTCCTCTCTATCAAGAATGAGAACATCCTCCTCTCTGAAAGAGTGACCGCTGGCCTGTAAATGACTGTAAATGACATTTACAGGCCAGTGGTCACTCTTTCAGAGAGGAGGATGTTCTCATTCTTGATAGAGAGGAACGCTGGTTTGAGAGAGGAGTAAAAGAAGCCATTTTTGTGAAGAAAGACCGTCCATCATTAAACAGAGGTGGAGGCCTCCGTTTTCAGTTGTCCCCCTCCTACAATGCTGCTATTGCCAGTATCACTCCACCCCCTGTTAACAATAGGTGTTAATTAGGTGTCAACGATAGCCATGTGATGTGAGTATCAGTCACATGGAGGCAGGGCTTAAAAGCCTGAATTTTGCCTGAAACTCTCAGACTGAAGAAGTCTCTTGGAGGAGAGACGAAACGTTTCATTAGAGAAGAACCCGTCCAGAAGACCTATACAATTTTTTTCTTTTTTTCCCATGTAATTGTTTAGACTAGTTCTTATTTGGATAAAACAGATTACAACATGTTCTTTCATTTGGTTTGTGTTTTTGGGGATTGTAAAAGGTGAAGAGAAATCATCAAAAATAAGTCAGAAATTTTTGTTGGGGTTAATACTGCAGTTCCATGATACAAACTGGATCATCCAGATACTTAGAGATTTAAAAGATGGGGGTATTTTGAAAACAACACACAAAAAAAAGACAGGCACTACATTAATCTGAACCTGTACCCCAGTCGCCGCTGTTGAAATTTCGGACATTGTGTAGCATTTTGTTCTGCTGCTATCAGTCTGAACCCACAAGAACAAACATCTTAGATCTGCAGGATCTCAGTGGTAAAAAAGCTCACCGAAAGTTGACGCGACAGGAATAAGGGTGTTATCTACATATATATCGCTGTCAGTTAGATCATGTATATACAATAGCAAATCTAAGTGCTGTGTCATTTATGTTGAGTATGTTGATGAAATTATGTACAATTACAAATAAAAAAAGATCACAACCAGACGGAAACCCCTGAAAAAAGAAAAAAATAATGTGACCGGCAATAATTTCATTTTTCTCAGTGAGTTATGTTATGGCACAAAATGATATCTTAGTCTGCCGTTCTGGTGGTATTTTGGTCTCTGCTGACTCCATCACCTTCCCACAGACAGGCTTCAGCAGCACATTTAAGGCACATTTGTGAGATGTGGCACTCCCACCAAACTTACAGACCAATGCTGTTAACTAGTGACCGAGTCAGCTGCCACTGGAAAAAACTTAATATGTCCTGCTCATTATCGTAATTGCCTTTGAGCTCCAACGGTGTGATCCATCTCTGATCTGTAGCTGACTGCTTCTGAATCTGTTTTTCTATCTTGTTACAGCCAAGATCAAACCCCTCTCTTTTCACACAGCTACAGCCTCTGAGGACGGTTTAGTCCTGTATAGCCGCTGAGATATACAGTTAAACCAACTTTCAACTTTATTACTTCACCATATTTCTTCACTGTATACCTAGAGCAAAACCATATGTGAAAAAACAAACATAACCTATCTTGTATCTTAAAAAATGATGACTTGTAAAAATGAAAAGAAGAAAAAAATTCACTCTGCCTTGTCATGGGTTTGGTCTTATGAATAAATTATATGCTTGATGTCTGAAACTTTTTGTTGTCTTTATTGATCTACTCAACATTGTCTCAAAAGTGCAATTTGTTTCAGCTTTTCACAAAAATTAGGGGTGCCCCAATAACTTTTTACTTGTTATTCCTTCATCAAAAACATACCCAGAGTGTTGCTTTGACTCATTCATACATGTTTGATAAATCCTTGAATCTCCTGTGGCAGCCATGTGGAGCTGCCTCCACACCAGCCTGTACAAAGCTCCGCCTATTTACATAAAGCTCCTCCCTGGAGCTCAGTCCCAAGCTGAGCCCCATAGTGTTGTGTAGATGTGCTGAAATGGCAGTGTCAGAAACAGTAGTAGGTTCTTAAAGAGGCAGAGGCATATTTCACAGTTACTTGATTGTGGTATAACTACGTATGTGTCTGAGAAATACACAAGCCCCCCTTTAATTTTGGGCGATTGACTTATACGTGAAAAGTCGATCTTATCTAACTTCGTAAAAGTCTGAAAATCAGCCATAGTCCCATTTTGCTCTGCTGTGAGAGAGGGCTGTTGTCCAATTAAAACAATTTTGTATTGATTCTAGGGTATTGTTTAATGTTTTTAAATAAAATAATATAGGAACACTCAAGGTGTGTTGTGACCTTATAACACCTGACAGTGTTAGTTAAAAAAAATCTGAGTCAGCAGGTCAGACTTTTTAAAGATCAGCCATCAGCCAGAAAACTGCCATCAGTGCACCTCTAATAAAAATACCAATAAACAATATTAAATTTAAATAAAGCTTTTGAAATATTTATTTCTACATTCAAGAATTTTTACAATAAGAACTGTCCAGTAATGAAGTTTAAAAATAGACAGAATTTCATGGATAATCCATGGATCACTAAAGGACTACAAAATGCATGAATGAAAATGAATGGCTTATATAAAAAAATTATAATGGTCAGAAAAAAACAACAACAAAAATATAAAAAGTAAAAAAAATAAATTGACAAATATTCTGCGAGTATGCAAGTAAGATTATTATACTAAAATCCTTCAAAACAGGTGCAATGTAAGAGGTATATGGAAAATAATAAATGATGTAATTAGAAGTGGTTCAAACAGTACAGATTACACAGAATATTTTGATGATGAAGAAAGGACTGTGGATGATATGAATGATGTGGTTAATGGATTTAATAGATTCTTTGTAAATGTGGGACCAAAGTTAGCTGAAGAAATAACAGACTTAAAAGATAATGGGAGGGCCATTGTTGAAAATAATATTGAATCAAATCCATACTCAATTTATCTGAAACCAGTAACAGCAAAAGAAGTTCTAGATATAGTCAGCAAATGTAAAAACAAGACATCTACAGATTGGAATGATATTAATATGACTGTAGTAAAGAAAGTGATTGATGCCATTGTGGAACCATTTACCTACATCTGTAACTTATCATTTTCAACAGGATCATTTCCATATCAAATGAAAATTGCCAAAGTTACTCCAATATGTAAAGCTGGGGACAAACACCTTTTCACTAATTATAGGCCAGTATCATTACTCTGCCAGTTTTCTAAAGTCCTTGAAAAACTCTTCATTCAAATGCTTGATGCCTTTATTCAAAAACATACTGTCAGATTGTCAAAATGGTTTTAGAGAAAACAGATCTACATCAACGGCATTAATGCACATGACTGAAGAAATTATTAATGGTATGGACAACCAAAACTTTGCAGTTGGAGTATTTATTGATTTTAAAAAGGCATTTGACACCATTGATCATATTTTATTAAATAGATTGGAAAAATATGGAATTAGGGGAGTGGTGCTAAACTGGCAAGAAATTATATTCAAAATAGAAAACAGTTTATTTAAATCTGTGACCACACATCATTTTTAAAAACATAACTTGTGGGGTCCCGCAGGGCTCAGTATTAGGACCAAAATTATTCATTCTATATGTAAATGAAATGTGCGAGTGTATCAGAATTGTGCAAGTATATTTTATTTTCAGATGATACTAACCTCTTTTGTTTTGGAAATAATCTCCAGCAGCTTTTAGAGAAAGTCACTACAGAAATGACAAAATTGAAACATTGGTGTGATTTAAATAAATTGTCATTAAATTTAAATAAAACTATATTTAAGGTATTCGGAAATAAAAAAATACCTTCAAGAACACAAATAAAAATAATGATTGACAGTTTTGAGATAGTAAGAACAAAATAAGTTAAATTTCTGGGTGTGGATCATAAAATCTGCTGGAAATCACAAATTATTCAAATAAAAAGAAAATTGGCATAAAGCTATGCAATACTCGGGAAAGCTCAACACATACTGGACCACAAAGCATTGTTGATTCTGTATTCATCACATGTATTGCCATATCTGTCTTATTGTGTGGAAATTTGGGGTAACACATACAAAAGCAACCTACAGCCACTTTGTAAGCTACAAAAGAGAGCAGTCAGGATAATTCATAAAGTGGGGTTTTGGGAGCACACTAACACACTATTTGTAAAGTCAAATATTTTAAAATTTTATGATTTGGTTAAATTTAAAACAGCACAATTTATGTTCAAAGCAAGTAATAAAGAACTTCCAGGAACTCTTCAAAAAATGTTTTGTGATAGAATGGGGGGGCTTTAAATTAAGAGGAGAGTTCAAATTAAAAAAACAAAGGGCGCGAACCATGAGAAAAAGTATGTGTGTCTTTGTGTGGGGTGGATTTATGGAATGTTGAACTGAAGCAATGTAAACACATTCATTCATATTTACATATCCCTTTTATATGAAAATCTGAGGTGAAAACTAGTTTAGATCAAACAACCTTTCAAGTAGTAAAAGTGGGAAAGACCTGTGTTAAAAGTAAGAAAATCTCTTTGATGAGATTAGTTACATCATTTTTGTTGATTATTTGTTCAAACATAAGCATTAATCGATGAAGGTAAAAACCTGATTCATTGCAGGGCTTTTAACTTGTTTCTTCAGTGCAACATGTTCCCCAAGTTGTCTTCAGGCACCCCCCCCCCCCCATCATCAACAATGGCAGCAGGTGGGTTTAGGGCTACAGTCAGGATTACAGCACGGCTCAAGATTTGGGTCGCTTCCTTTCAAGACCTGGCTCTCGCCGAAGACCATGGTAGCTTCAAACTGCGCCTTGACATTCTTTATCTGCTCCAACACTGCTTGGACATCGGGTCTGTCTTTAAGTGGGAGGGGGTAGCGCTCCGAGGGGTCAGCCTCCAGGTCAAAAATGAGAGGAGGGTCATGGGCCTTCAAGGACGCAGATCCTGGACAGTCCTGGTCTGGGGTGGTAGCACTGTGGATAGCACCTGATAGAAAAACATGCAAGAAAACATGAGCGTTATATTTTGTTCAATTACGGCACAGTGTGGGTTAATGTGACCAAACAGTTTGTTTATGTGCAGCAGAGGTCCAAAAATATATATTTAATACAAGGCAGTGTCTCTGTTAGATATATTTAATAGCAAATCAAGACAAATGAATTCTAAATGATGTACAGAGTTGACTGGGAAGATGAGCTGTTGGGTAATGTGATTGTCAACTTGTAGTTTGACGACGACTACGCTGTTAAAACAGCTCATTTAAGCTCTCACAATGGTAAAACGGCACTTTTTAATAAGCTGCACACAGGAATGTTAGGCTTGTATTTTTCATGTGAATATTGCCAACCTCACACTTGGCACTTAAAAGAAGACATTTCCTGCTTTTAAATCTTTCTTTTTCACATTTAAATCATTCAGTTGGGGTCTTTATAAAGTGGAACTGCAATGCTTTGGTCTGAATTCCTCCTTTCACCCCTTTTACTGAGGTGTGTCTCAAAGCAACTCATTTTGAGGCTGTCTCTTTAAATCCAAATGAGACGCTTCACAGCCTGACCCCCTCCCAGACAGATTCATTCCAGTTTGATAGAGGGGTTTACGGTTATATAGCGGCGAAGAAACATTTTATTTACAAATGAATTAAACGATTTCAACAAAGGAAAACGTGTCCATCCAGCCTTACATGTTGGAGCCAGAGGAGAATGAAGACAACCTAAATGTACAGTATTTGGTATGTCCAGACTTATTTGGCAGTTCTGCTGCAAATAATTTGACGTAATAATTCAGAAAAGGTCATAGAAAATAGAGAAAATGGAACGGGTTGAAAAATATGATCCAAACAGAATATAAAGATGTCTATGCAGGACCAGGAGAGACTAAATTAAACTTTTTTTGCACTCCTAAAGACTCCAAGTTCACAACAAAATTCATTTAACACCTAAAACGGTGGATTTTGCATGACAAGCTGAAAGAAAACTGCAACAATAACAGGGTTTTGCCCAACTCAATTCTTTTCTGGTTCTGAATAATACAGTTCAAGCTTACTGCCTATTCTCTGTGTAAAGTGTGCTACCTTCTGTGTAGAAGTGGGCCTTGTACGTCCCCAGTCTCACAGCAAACAGTCCATAGGTTTTATTTGGAGATATGGGGTAGTACATCATTGCCTCCCTCTTACTCTGGAAGATACACGCAAGAAATACACAAGAAGTCAGCGTGATGTTGCTCCAGACTTTAAAAACACCAGGACGATTGTTGCTACCTTCCCATGCTTGAAGAGGATATCTGTCATGTCAAACCCATCCAGCATCACTGGAGGTAGTGTAGCTCCTGCCAGGCCCGCCATGGTAGGGAGGATATCCAAAGTACTGGCCAACTCATGGGTCACACCTTAAAGATCAAATTAGTAAAAGAGCCACATTGACATAAACATCAGTATTTTCTTAAACAGACATGAAACAAAACCAAATCACTTACAGATGTAATACTGGGATCCATTTCCAGACTCTTTGTAGTTCTTACCTGGCTTAATGATGCCGTGCCAGTATGCAATGGCGGGCTCTCGCATCCCCCCCTCATATGTTGTACCTTTGCCACATTTCAGGAGGCCTGAGCTGCCACCACGTGACATGCGCATCAGTTCAGGCCTACACACGGACATGTGATCATCAGGTTTGCACATATTAGAAAACTGACACGCTTTTTGACATTTCGTTACTGTCTCGTTTAGGTCATGAATGTGGAGTTTAAGTGCAGAAATTGAGCTTAAATTTAAAGATGTTCATATCCAAACAGAAATTTTAATACAATTATGAGTAAACGGGTCATTTTAGTTAAAAATAATTATTGAGAATTCTAAATGAAAATAAATTCACTACCATATACACTCACCAGCCACTTTATTAGGTACACCACGCTAGTAACGGGTTGGACCCCCTTTTGCCTTCAGAACTGCCTCAATTCTTCGTGGCATAGATTCAACAAGGTGCTGGAAGCATTCCTCAGAGATTTTGGTCCATATTGACATGATGGCATCACAGAGTTGCCGCAGATTTGTCGGCTGCACATCCATGATGCGAATCTCCCGTTCCACCACATCCCAAAGATGCTCTATTGGATTGAGATCTGGTGACTGTGGAGGCCATTTGAGTACAGTGAACTCATTGTCATGTTCAAGAAACCAGTCTGAGATGATTCCAGCTTTATGACATGGCGCATTATCCTGCTGAAAGTAGCCATCAGATGTTGGGTACATTGTGGTCATAAAGGGATGGACATGGTCAGCAACAATACTCAGGTAGGCTGTGGCGTTGCAACGATGCTCAATTGGTACCAAGGGGCCCAAAGAGTGCCAAGAAAAGATTCCCCACACCATGACACCACCACCACCAGCCTGAACCGTTGATACAAGGCAGGATGGATCCATGCTTTCATGTTGTTGACGCCAAATTCTGACCCTACCATCCGAATGTCGCAGCAGAAATCGAGACTCATCAGACCAGGCAACGTTTTTCCAATCTTCTCTTGTCCAATTTCGATGAGCTTGTGCAAATTGTAGCCTCAGTTTACTGTTCTTAGCTGAAAGGAGTGGCACCCGGTGTGGTCTTCTGCTGCTGAAGCCCATCTGCCTCAAAGTTCGACATGTTGTGTGTTCAGAGATGCTCTTCTGCCTACCTTGGTTGTAACGGGTGGTTATTTGAGTCACTGTTGCCTTTCTATCAGCTCGAACCAGTCTGCCCATTCTCCTCTGACCTCTGGCATCAACAAGGTATTTCCGCCCACAGGACTGCCGCTCACTGGATGTTTTTTCTTTTTCGGACCATTCTCTGTAAACCCTAGAGATGGTTGTGCGTGAAAATCCCAGTTGATCAGCAGTTTCTGAAATACTCAGACCAGCCCTTCTGGCACCAACAACCATGCCACGTTCAAAGGCACTCATATCACCTTTCTTCCCCACACTGATGCTCGGTTTGAACTGCAGGAGATTGTCTTGACCATGTCTACATGCCTAAATGCACTGAGTTGCTGCCATGTGATTGGCTGATTAGAAATTAAGTGTTAACGAGCAGTTGGACAGGTGTACCTAATAAAGTGGCCGGTGAGTGTAAGATTTGTTATGCTTTGCCAGGATCTTAAAGCAGAGGGCTTGTGTTGTTCTTACCATACTCCTGCACACTTCTGAATTCATTAAGCTGTTTTTGTCTCTTTTCATTTTGAACTAGAAATGACTCGGTGCAACAGAGAGTCCTGCATGTCAGAGTCGTGACACCAAGTCCTTGTCTTATCCAGCTAAAGAATGTTGCTCAAGAACTGGTCCAGCTTTCTCATGCACATCTTGGCAGTGTAATACTTCCTCTTCCAATCTTAAAGCAGACAAAGTTTGCAGCATGTAAGCTCTCTGTTCTATCCTTTAAAGTATTTTTATACAACAATCTTAAAAAAATACTGTTGTTGAATCCCTTTAAACAGGTTTTGAGCCAAAATTATGATTGGAAAAATAGGAGGTCAAATTTTAAAAAGTCAGCAACAGTTTATCACATCTTTTTGTGATCTCAAATATGCTTCCAACTATTGTTGTCGCAGTTAACTAACCCATTATCAGATGCAAAGAATACAAGTGTATTATTAATCGCTCCTGTCTGCGCCAGGGTAGACATCAGGTTTCCTATTGTGTCGTCCAGTTCCAACAAGGCATCTCCAAATGGACCCCTCAAAGAGCGACCTGCTGCTCCTGAACCTGCATACTGTGGGTAGTGAGTGTGCTGTGAAAAAGGCATAGGGAGGGAAAAAAAAAGGGTTAAATACAATTTAATGTACCACTCTTTCCAAAAAAGGCTTGGACAATTTCTTTACTGTAATAAATAACTCGTCAGACATTTTATGTTGCTTACATGCGATGGGTAGTAGAGAAAGAAAGGCTGTTTGTTCTTGACAGAGTTAATGATGAAATTGGTTCCGAAGTCACTGTAAGCCTTTTCCAGCTCCAGGAAGTTGGCCGGTTGCTGTTTGATGTTGTCATTATGCACGACGGGGACAGTTACAACACCAGGGTCACAATATCCAAAACACTTGATATCCGGAGGAAAACAAGTCAAGTTGTGGCAGGGGCCCTGTGGAAGAAACAATGTCACAGAAGAAATCATTTAGAGGAGAACATTCAAAAAGACAGTTTAGAAAACGTCCCACCACACTGACCATGTCATGAGAGTATGGGATCCCCAGGTACTCGTCAAAACCTTGTTTGGTTGGAAGAAACTTCCCTTTGGCCCCATATCCCAAGTGCCATTTCCCCATGATAGCGGTGGCATAACCCTGAGTTTTCAACACTTCAGCGATGGTGGTCTCATTTAGAGGAAGACCCCCAATGGAGCCTGGGTAGAACACACCTGGGTAGATACCTGAACGGGTCTGATAACGACCTGTCAGCAACGCCGCCCTAAAAAACAATGAACACTAATTAGGTAGGTAATTACCGCGGAAGATGCCCAAACATATCTTTTGAAAATATAATAAGAGGAAGTAAACCTGCAATATACAGACAACAGGTGTCTTCACCATTTATTCAACTGTTTATTAACTGTTTTAAAAGCAAAACCGGGTCATTAGTCCTAAACGAAATATATATTTTACAGTCACAGTTGGTCCTATTTAGTACGGCGGAGTACCTGGACGGGCTGCAGACCGGACAGGTGCTATAAAAATCTGTAAAGCGGAGTCCTGCTGCTGCGAGGCGGTCCAAGTTAGGAGTGAGTGAACTGGGATGCCCGTAACAGCCCAAGTCCCCGAACCCCAAATCATCTGCAAAGAGAAGAACGAAGTTCGGCTTTGACGCCGAACAAGCGCCAAACGTGCACAAGATCAAATAAGCGAGACGTCTGAAGTCCATTGTGCCTCTTGTGCCACAGAAACGAGAAGTAACCTGCTAAAACAAAACACAGTGAGTAGTGCTGCGTTTGTGTTACCTCGGAAATAAAACAGTCGTAGTCAATTTCTTGACATTTTTAACGCTTTGCATACAAAAAAAAAACATAGATTTCTCTATTTACAGGGTTTTTTGGCGTTTATAGTGTTTCCGATAATGAAAATATCAATTTGTATAAGGCTTAAATCTGAATTATTTCCTGGTAAATCCAATATCCAGATTTCAGGAAATGCAGCAAAAGAGTCACGAGCTTGTTGACGGAAATGATCGACGTCGGTAAAATTTAACGTCACACGATGTTGGGAAATGTAGTTTTTATACTTATCGTTGGACTACAAATGTTATATACATTATTTTTATTTGTTTTATTTATTTTCATTTGTTTATTTATTTCACTTGTGACACATGTGGTAACTCTTTGTTATGCAATGGACACTCCAACATTCACTGTGTAGTTTTATGCAGTTTTTGACTAAATTAGGGGAAACCAGGGACAGTCACAACACTTTTTTACATTTGACTCTGTTACTCAGAGATGGTTTGAATTAGACAAACCAAATTTTAATACAATAAAATTACATATGTCTGTTAATACTCAAAATCATTTATAGATGATTAAAGCATGTGCATTCTTCACGATTTGCATTAGAAAATGAAAAGTCAGATGTTGCAACTGACCCCGGGGACGGGGACAGTTGCATCATTGTTTGGGGGTGGTTGCAGCATGTTATTAATACGATATATTTCACTGTAAATAAAAGTTTTATTTTTTATATTTATATTATTGCTAAATTCACAAGAACTGTAAGTTATAATGATATTACAGTGTTATTTATTTGTAGTTTTTGATCAAATGACATATATAGATTTCCTTTGATGTGTGGACCTTATATACAGATGTCAAAGACTCAAATCGATATAAAATACAGTTGGCTTTTAGAGACAAGAATAATAGAACGATTTGTGAGGCAATTAACTTTTGTTTTGCCTACTGTCAGTGTACACCTACATTATGCAAAATTTACATTGAAAGAAACTGGGATTTTAAAACCACTGTGGAAAACAACAACTGCAGAAAATACATCTGAAACACTTTTTGTTTTAAACTGAAAAAGAGTCATGAATACCCAATACTCTTTTAAGTGTAAACTTAATTTCAACATCTAAATATCATCTTTATGCTCTGTTTTTATATGGATTTCTCATATGGGGACAGCTGCAACAACTGTTGCAACTGTCCCTCTTCCTGTCAGCCATGATAAAACGTCATGTGTTAGCTAAATAAGCTGATCTGGATACATGTTAACTATATTAGTTTAAGTCAACATATCACTTGTTTAAACTATACAGTATACTGAATAAGTTTGAGCTGGATCACAAAAACAGTCACAACCGTATAACAAAAATAAAGCTGGCAAAAAAATACTTTGGTGCATCAAAAACAGTTTTTATCAAATAAATCCTGGAGCAGTTTTTGAATCTGCTTACTTTTTCTCTGCAAGGTGGGTCATCTAACTGAGCATGTACAGTTTGAGTGTCATCACTCTAGCTTGTTTCTGTTTGTAAGTAAGTAAAGTTTATTTATGTAGCACCTTTCATAGACATAAAATCACAAAGCGCTTCACATAAAACAGAATGAAAACAAGAAAGTAAAATAGTAAATTAAAACATCACCACAGCATTACTGTTCATATAAGAATACAAGTAGTAAAAAAATAAATGAATAAAAAAAGAGAGAAAAATGACGTGTTGCAACCGTCCCTTGTTGCATCTGTCCTCGGTCTCCCCTTTACTTTAGATTTTTTTAAATGAACTTTCATATGAACGTGACAAAACACTACAGAAGTTCAAGCCATTTATGTAATTATTTTATTCTTATCCATATTAATCAGTTTGATTTTACTATACATTTGATCAGTTTCTACTTTTTGTTGCACCTCTACCAAAGACAGAGTTGTCCAGAAATGCCTTGTATTATATTTGTTTAAAATAGCACTGAATATTTGAAGAAATGGCTGAAATCAAGTATTCTCATGGTCTGTAACGAATCCTTATTTGTGTCCTTTGACTGAATCTGAATTTTTTTATGCTGGTCTTGATTCATGATAATACTGTTACTAATTTGGCAAACAGTTGTTTATGCTTAATTTGTTATTAACATTTATTCTTGTTTTTATTGTCACCAGTTTGCCATTGTTTAGAGATTTTATAATTTGATTGTTGAACACCTTATACTCCTAATGTTTACTCACATCTTAACTTGAAAGCACGTAGCTCCTACGGTTTTATCAGTCTAAAAATACGGAGGAAAAAGGAAACGACAGAAAGAAAAGATATGAAGACAGAACAGTTACCTGATAAACAAATAAAAAAAATCCTTACTGATATAATAAAACACATCAAAGCAATGCCGGTCGAATTCTGACTGACATTTTCACCTCACAGAAGACGAGGCGAGGCTCTACAGTCCTGATGAGACACAGATACTCCAGAGTTTCCATGCCAGATTTCAAAATGCCAGACCAGCTAAATGATGAGTCAGTCATTAGTTCAGCAGCCTGTGCAGGAAGACAAAGGCAGTCATCATTAGGAGCAAATAATGGACAATAATTGTTAAGGTTTTTGCACCCAATAATGACTGGAACTCTTGTTTCTAAGATGGAGTTGTGGATGTGACGTGGAGAAGAATGAGGAGGGCCACTGTAGGAGGAGCAGCATTGTATGGACTCCAGTGGCCTCTCTGCAGAGTGATTTAGTGAAGGATGACTGCTCTGACCTTTTTATTAACAGCAAACGAAAACTCTCAACGGGCACACAGGAGAACAAGTAGTTTGAAGCAGCTGGGGCAACCAAGGCATCCATATGTGTGTGAGTGTGAGTGGGTGTAAATCTGAGTGTCTCTGTGTCACACTACATCAGCTAAGTATGTTTTCTGTGACAGTTTCCTCAGGAGGCTGTGGTTACAACTGAGATTTAGGCATCTTTGTGCAAATTGAGCTGTCCAGCCAGAAAAAACTTGTCTGAATCGATGTTCCATGGCCGAGTTTTCTTTTGGAGCTGGCGTGTTTGTGTATGTGCATGGAGGAACATGCACATCATGTGTGCGCTCCAAGCAGACAGAGCTGTGGATACAAATCAGCACAGCACTGATGATGGAGAAAATCAAATCCACCATCTGCTATCATCCCTTTGGGAAAAACAAGCGAGAAAGAAATCCTCAAAGCTTCAGGAAGAGTCGACATCTCTCACTGCCTTCGTTTTTTAAAAGATGCATCCATTTTTTTATTTTTATTTTTGCACAAGCTGCTGTTTTATTTGGTTTCCCACGAGGCACAGCAGGCGTTACCTGGGATCTGAGCCAACATTTATAAAATAAAATAAAATAAAATAATAAAAAAATTGAAAGAGAAAA